ACTAGGTGACACTATCTCTTAACGTGTTCTTTAAATTGAACTTTCCCTGTTTGTCTTGTTCATCAACATCACAGTTCACCTACGCTGATCAAGTCTTATTAAAGTAAAACAGGATTCCAGGAAGTGCATGACTATGTTAACATTTTGTTAATGTTTGGGCTCCGAATTGCATGCAGGTTCTTCAGTTGACAAAGTTTGACTATCGACTTGCTAGTGACCTTGATGAAGAGCTACAAAAATTGCGTTGCCGTGTGAATTATCATGCCTTGAGATTCACAAAACCCATAAGGAATCTTGGTCAGAAACTTGTATTCCGTATGCGAAAGATGGAAAAACGTTTCATTGCAGTTCACTTGAGGTTAGTTTGACTTGGTGCATGCCTTCTGATACTCTTAGCTTAATTTTTCACTAAGCAATTTAAGTAAGCGATGTTTTAGTGAAAATAAAACTTAGAACTGAAGTTGCAACTGTCTAGGCCTTTTGAGTTTGACGTGATCATCTTTTTCATGTGTGTGTTTAATTTTTAATGGAGCTATTCGCGCGCACTTCAGTTTAAGTTTGTTGTACTGTAAGGAGGGATCTTGTCTTCAATTCAGGGGTTGGGAGTTCTCTCTCTGCGGCATGATAATGAAGATAACAAAAGGGGAAAAAAGAAAGTGAATTCAAATTGGCTGTAAATCCATGTTCCCTCAATAAGAAGGGACCGTAGTTGACCTTCTTTCTTGGTTGTACTTGAGTGTGTGAATTCACTAATTGCTTAGAAATTGGAAAGCTCGGAGTGTTTCTTGGACTCACCTCCGAGGTTTTTTGGGGCTGGCTGTGGGTCAGGATGCCCACGAGTTTATTACTACTTTGCCAGGAGTTGTGGCATAAATTTTCAACTTAGACTTGAGAAACTTTACATCTTACTGATGCCATTTGATACTTATCTTCCTTAGCCAATACAGACCAACCCCTTCAACTTTATGATTTTTACTGGCTATTCATATGTGTTGTGCTTAATTATGTGCTGTAGGTTTGAACCTGATATGTTGGCATTCTCTGGCTGCTACTATGGTGGGGGCGACAAGGAAAGATATGAACTGGGTGAGATAAGAAAACGATGGGCTACTTTACCTGTAAGATCTCAATCACTGAAGAATTATGCCTCTATTAATTACACGCAAATTTAGGTGATATCACTTCTGCACTATTAGGTGTCTATTGCATATGCACATTATGCTGTCTATCTAGGATTTTTAGAGCTGCAATTCTATTGCCAAGCTTGTGAACTCAATACTTCCTTGCACTGTCAATTCTTCTTAAGCACCGTCACTGCTTGGGTTAGTATTCTGAAATGCTATTTTCTGTGGAGGTTAGCCTGAATAGATAAAGTGTAATATCTAGGGAAGCAATGATCAATTGAGTTTCAATGTTTTTAAAAAAAATAATTAAATGTAATGAAAATTTCATCAAGGAATAACATACAGTGAGAGCAGTGGAAAGGTAATACAACCCCAACAATATGCATCTTACTACACAAGCTACATGTGAAAACAATTAAGGAAGTTAACCATCCTGTCTGCTTGTACATTTTCAATTTTACACCAAAATCCTAAGAGAGCTAAACGTCTATGTTTTAATCTTCAAATCATTTCCTTTTTGCCTTCAGAGTATTTGATTTCTCTCACTTGACACAGGCCACCATGGCACCATTTATGCCTTAAAAGTATCTTTTATTTACTCCTGCACAAATCCACCATATAGCCGTTACAATTTTTTTATCGTCTTCTTCCATTCCAACAAAGTAGCAGGTCTTCAGGAGATTCTGGTATCTGCCATTTAACTACAATCATATTCAAAAACATGTGCCAAATTTGATTTGTGATTCTGCAGTGGATTTAGGAGTGTTTCACGACTTCATAATCTTCTTCTCACAGTACACATCTGTTGCAAATAGTCATAGCTCTTCTTTGTAGACTGTGTTGGGTCAAGCAGTCTCTCTAGCCACTAGCCATGAGAAGCGCTCTACTTTGTTAAGGTGCTTTGTTTCTCCATGTCAATTTCCACAGCCATACTTGTTCTTGTTGTCTACTTTGAGACAACTTCATATGCAAACTTAACTGAGAATAAGCCATCCATACGTTCTTTCCATACTATCTTATCTGGTAGTAAGTAGTAATTACTGTCTATGAAAGTTATCTATCATCTGCAGAGTTGCAACAAATTCTTCACTATTGCATTTTAAAACTAATATCCACCGCAGTTAAAACAAAAAAACAAAAAGACTAATGTCCACCACAAGAAGTAAGTAATAATTTGAGGCAATGTTGTTAAAATTGGGTCTTCAGTAAAAACTTTACATCATATCCTCTTCAGAAACTATAAGTGCTTTTCAGCCTGATACCACCCCATCCCAAATTTGGATGATACTAAAGCAGAAAATCCTAAATGGATTTCTGTACATTTTGTTGGTTCAGGAGTTGAGCCCTGATGAAGAACGAACACGAGGGAAATGCCCACTAACACCTCATGAAGTTGGGCTTATGCTGCGGGCTCTTGGCTTCAATAATGACACGTATCTTTATGTTGCATCTGGTGAAATATATGGTGGAGAGAAAACTCTGCAGCCTCTAAGAGAGCTTTTCCCAAATTTTTATACTAAAGAGATTCTTGCTGGTGAAGAACTCCAACCCTTTCTCCCTTACTCTTCGCGGCTTGCTGCAATTGATTACATTGTATGTGATGAAAGTGATGTCTTTGCTACTAACAATAACGGGAACATGGCAAAGATCCTTGCTGGTAGAAGGTAAGGATTACTAACTGCCCTTTTTAGTGATTTTACACTTCTTACTTCTATGAATGCTGCAAGTCTATAAAATGGAAGTGGCTCTGTCTTCTCCTGGGAAACCACACCCTTTTTTATAACACTGCCAAAATTGGTCATGTATTGGTATTTTCTTTAGATTTTTATACATATGCCAAAGTGGATTCGAATGGATTCCCATGTACTGATAATTCTTGCAGGACTTCATAGGTTTAAAAGAGAACTGCAATTTAGAACTATCATACACACATTGCTTTCAACAATTTTGGTTCCTAGTCTATCATGTTTCACTCTTTTGGATACTCATTGTTTTGTTCTTCACACTGAAGGAGGTACATGGGGCACAAGAGGACGATCAGACCAAATGCAAAAAGGCTCAGTGCGTTGTTCATGGCAAGGGATAAGATGGATTGGGCCACATTCTCTAGAAAAGTCAAATCATGCCAAAGAGGCTTCTTGGGAGAACCTGAGGAAAATAGACCAGGCCGTGGAGATTTCCATGAATTTCCGTCAACATGTATCTGTAAGAAACCATTCAATTTGTCTAACTTCACTAGCAAAGAGAACAAATATCAGATTTCAAGAAGGAATCCAACTGTCTCGGAGTCGAGATATAGGTACCTATCCAATAGCAGTAACCTGGAACAAAGGAGCTCTCAGAAATTCAGTGAAGGGAGCTTAAGAGACAGGCATGGGTCTTTAATAGATGAGATTGACCCTGATAACCCTTTATCCGACTAAAATAAATACCATAAGTAGGTTAGAAGCTTAGCGAGCATTGTTATAGTTATCTTGTCCTCTCCAACATGCTGTCATTTTCACTTGCTACGACTTCAGAAAGCTGAAGTTTCAGTGCTAGGTAGGTGTTCAGTGCTCAATATTTCCAGTCTTGCTGCTTTGTACAGCAAATCTGTAACTTCCTCTGATCTTGCAATTGTCCATATATGTTCTGTAAGATAGAACTGTAGGGAGAGTGAAACCTTGTATTGCCTGCTCGAAGATATATCAATCATTATGTTCGTTTATTTTACGTATATCCAATCATCTGCAATTGAAGTAGTTTAGTTTTATCAAAAGCATAGTTGAGGCTAGTTTAGCTTGTTCAAAGAAGACTTGAATACCACAGGACTTCCACATATTCTGCCTTGCACTTTTTTTTCATTTTTTTTCCTTCAGATTGAAAAGAAGTTTGTCCTTCAAACTCATAAATGAATTATTCTTAGCCTATCAGCACCACTTCAAAGTTCAAACCACAGAATGCATATAATAGCCTTTAAAGTCTTGGGGTTGACAGAAAATCTATTATCCACCAATGGAGGATTTTCTAATGAAGACAATCGTTAAATTGTTTAATGATCTTGCTGAATAACTTTTGAAAAGAATTTCAAGTTGATTCAAATTATACTAGCAGTTTTATCGCTTAATTATATTTGTTTTATCAAACAATTAATTTTGTATTTCCGGTAAAAAAAAATTCTTTCCAAAACAAAAGCCTTGAATCTCATTGTGAAGTAACTTGACTACAAATACCGAAGTGGCAAAAGATTGATTCTTGTCTATACAAGGTTGTTTGGTTGGAAACAAGTTATTCCACCATGCAAATGGAATAACATCATAAAAATGGTGGAATGAACTATTCAAGGACTACCTAATATCTCTAACTTATCATGAAATTCTTATACCTCACCGCAAATGACTCTCCTTAGTGTTCAAATGCACACTACAAAAGTCAGAATGGTAACTTTAGGCCCAAAGGATTAATAATTGGGCAGTCTAATTATTGAAAAATTGGTGTTAAGATATACTACACTGTTATCAGATTTAGAGTCTTGTTACTTTTGACTAATCAGCCACTCTACATTTTCTGGGCTAGGCTCTCAGTGGGTTCTAATCTAAGAAAGCCGCAACATCCTAAATCAATCCAAAAAACATTGATCCAAAATAAGTAAACAAAGATGATCATCTATAAACCATTCACTTAGTTACCACAGAAATTAACATTTGCGTAAGTTTTGGTCTTTGTAAATTATAGAACAACATAGCATGTTTCATCTTAAGAGTAACGACATCAGTGCTAAAAATGAAACAAATTTGTTTCGAGGGCATTCTCCAATCACAAAACAAAAAGATGGCATGCTAGTCTTTAAGGTAAACATCAATCTGGAAAACTTGTTGAGTGAGAAGGCTGCAAATATTCGAAGATTAAGATTGTTTCAGAATAACTCTAGCAATTTTTAAAAGCTGACATCGACAATCCCATTTACAACCTACTCCGGCTAGAACAGTCCTTCACAAATTCTGTAAAGGACTAAATCATTATGAACATCTAATGCCTAAATTTTACAGCCAGGAAGTGAGAACTTCCCTTTCCCAATTTTCAACTCTATAATTAAATGTACAGGAAAACATCAAACACTAGGCATCCTGATCATCTTGATGATAACCCGGGCTGAGCAGAAACATTTGAAAGCACTCTCCCCCTTTACTTATTACCTGCAGGAAAAAATAGCAATTTTACAAAAGCCTAACCCTGCTTTCCAATGGTCTAGCTAACATACTGAAGAGGCAAACAATTGGTGAAAGAACTCGGATGTGAATGTCTTTGACCGGATAACTGGGAAGCGGGGGGACCTAAAAAATGGGAGATATTTCAAAACTTACCTTGATGCACCCCTGCTCTGACTTCTGCTACTTTTATCATGTGAAACAGATGGAAGCTTAGAGATAATCAACGAGCTTTGTAGACCCTCCAATAACTGCATGCAACAAATCAAATACCATTTTAAAACATCTGTTCTTACCCAGAAATTATCTAAACCATTATTGCAGAATATTTATACGCAAACATAAATGCCAGTCATGAAGAGGAGGGCGATCTGTTCCAATTGGCAATGGAGATGACATTTCAAAGGGTTGATTTGATCTTAACTTGGTAGCCAAATTAGTGGAGAAGAAAGGCACCATAATGGTGGAGGCCAGGTACTAGTGACACAATAAATTCCCAGCGTTCTTTTCCAAAGAGCATACCAAGAACACACACTTCAAAATAACCATATGAATGAAAGATTATTTATTGCTTCCCATGTTTTCATATCAGGAAGTGAAAGGAAACACGCAAGACATGGGTGATCAAAATTTTAAAAACACAACAGGTTAAGCTAACTGTCTCTAAATCGCTCTAGACTCTTTATGACATAGGCATTTCTATGTTCAATTGAGTTTTGATTGGTTAAGGCAGAAGATATCTTACTGCCTAAAGGCACTCCAATCACTTGAAACCTAATTTTAGGATTTAGGAGAACCTGCTAGCTTAACTAATGTCCTCTTATGCAGTCAGTTAATATAATTACCCAGAAGTATTGGTTTAACCACACAGAAGTAATTGTGACCAACATACTTGAAAAGGCAATCACAATATTTCACAAAAACTAACCCCAAAAAATGCTCAAAAGAAACACAAGAATTTTGTAGCTAAAGTGATGTACTAATGTACCCTCTTTACTTATTTGTGCAACAATGCTTTAACTAATAATATGGAAGCCATGATTGATTTTTTGTGCTCATAATACAGCCTGTGATGTATACATCCCAGCATGCGCTTGTTACTGTATCAATAAACTTATCTTTTACTGATTAAAAAACAAAGTGACAGCCTCTCAGAGTTGAGTATACTTAAATCAAACAGAAGCCTTACCCTTGATGTTGGTTGAATCTTTCGGTTTGATCTGCGGGGTTCATTGACTTCAGGCATCATTTTGTCCTTTACTTCAATTTTGCTCGACTTCAAATTGGATATGGGGATTCTCTTCTTCATGCCTTCCCCTCTGTTAGATGATGTGGAAGCTTTCTTTGGGATGTTGGTGGGAAGAGCCTCTGAACGAAATTTCAAAGGACCTTCAGCCCCTTCTTCCGCATTTGACACCAAATTGCCCACATCAGGCTGTTGTGCTTCATGCTTCGCATCCTCAATTGCATCACCTACCGTGTGGTCAGCTCCACTAGCATCTCCAGTGGATGTAATACTATTATCCTTCAAAGTTCTAGCTGAACTAGGAGGCTTACTTGGTTTAGGAAGTTTCCGTCGAGCTTCAATCATTTGTTGTTTCTCCTTCAGATCAGTTCTAGAATTGGTCTTCCATCCACCAGTGCCCGTTGCTTGAGGCATCAAATATTTTGTGAACTTGGCTGAACCATGTGTCGGTGCCGCATTACTCTTAGTTGCTCTGTCTGAAACATAATGCTTGCTTACTTCCATAAACTTCCTTTTCTTTCCTGGCTTAGGAACACCAAAGACTTTTGATCCCTCTTTGTGCAAACCAGACCTCATTGTTCGAAGTGTACTGGGCTTACTGTCATCTTTGTTACTACCAATATTAAATGTTTTTTCAGTGACAGACAAAGGAGGCAATGTTGCTGATTCGTTTGCCACTGGCACCAGTGGTTCCATTTTTTTTGACAGATCATCATTTCCAGTATCCTCACTAGCCGGATTGCCCAGCTTCACTCGCTTCTCCTTAGGTGTATCACCCTATTTATGTAAAATAATAAACCATCATACATAAGCAACTGGAATAAATCAAATCCTTGCTCAATTAATAAAAAAGAATATAGTAAAAGTATGTACGCATCAGACCTGGGACAAGAAGTCATGTCTTGACCTGGACCATTCAACCCACTCTCCATCTTTCCATACAAGGCTTGGTCGGAGATGCCATGCTCTGACAACTGCAGTATCTCCATAAGCTGTGGAAATGACCCAAAAGTCTTTATCAGTTTAATCAATCCCGCATGGAATGACAGGTAACAATTGAAACTCAAAACAAAAAGAATACCTGGAAAGTTGACACTAAATGTAGTCTCGTCCCTTTTGTTCTTCTCAGCAATGACACCCTCTCGCCAGCTAGAACACATTTTACGAAACAGAAAGCAAGACGTAGAAAAAATAAGATTCACATTGAAAAATCAAATAAACTATAAAGCAAAAGAAAATATATATAGATCTCCTTGTCCGACTTTAACCTGACAGAGGTTGAATTAATGAGATCAGAAAAATTAGGTTTTATAAATTACTGCCTTCAATTATATTATATCTATAACCGAGAAATTCCCATGGACGGTGTTTCTGTCTGTGGCAGGGTTCAAAAACATGTGTACAACACATGACATGTTGAGCTCTTACCAGTACACTGATGCCATGGTCAATGGTGCCATGGTGGCTTCCAGGGCTTGTGCAAGAGAGAATAATTAGAAGCTTCCATTTTTTGGGAAGCACAATGCGAAAGAACATTACAAGTTCTATCATGAAAAGTGCTTTGAATTGGAAGTTCTTGTTTCAACAATGTAAATTCATTCTGGATTTTGAAGATGTTTATTACAACATTGCGAACAAAGTTGATAAAAATCTGAAGTTTTGACGTGAAGAAGTCATATAGTGTTTGCCACATATTGGGATACATGCAATTAAGTTTGAAGATAGATGAATAAGACCTCAAGACATTCAAAGCTAAAGTATCAATGTTCTTATAACGTCACAAGCAAAGTAAAAACCTAACAAAATAATAAAATATAAATCAAAGAATTTGTCCTGAGAAATTATTATAAACAATACTGCCCCAAGGATGCATTCAATGTCAAAGAAGAAACTAGACGTGAACTCAATCACTGGGGAGGGAGGGATTGTGAAGTAATATGACAAGTAGATCTTACCGGTAGTCGATCCATGCATCAACTCTATCTCCAACATACCATGTATGCTCCTTAACAACTGCTCTTCGTCTCTTTTTTCCTCCTTGCAGAGCAGTCACCGGATGCGCAGGACGTATTCTTGGTGGTTCATCACTTCCAGCATCTAGAGGTACCCAGTCCTTAAACTGTTCAAGCCCTGAAAGATTGGAAGGCAATAACAGCTTTTTAAGCCACAAAGTCCTTACCCACGACAACAAATGTCATCGCTTTTTGACTTCCTAGTCATTTTCTATATGCAACCTAAAATATTGGATCATCACATAAACAGGGATCAGGTCACATCAAAATTAGATTCTCATGAAGGCAATTTTCTTTGCTGAAATGAGAAATTTCATAGTTTAGTACGTTCCCTAATTCCAAACCTAAAATATTTTCCATTTTTAATATGTCCCAATTTAAGTGTCACATTCTATATTTAGTACGTTCCCTAATTCCAAGCATCCTACCTGACAGGTTTAACAGCACAAGATTTAAAGGACTATACACATCTTCAATTTAAGACCACAAGATTCAAAAGTCCCCCCTTTATTTCTTGAACTCCATGCCCAGTCAAAGAGGGAGCAATATATTATTGATGTGATGTTTAATTTCTAATTTTATTTGAACTGTATATTGATTACGCTTAAAAATATAATTATGCACATTCAAATATTGATAACAATACTCCCTCCATTTCAATTGGTTTGTTTGGTTTTGACTTGGCATAGAGTTTAAGAAAGTAAAGACGACTTTTGAATCATGTGGAAAGTTAGAATAAGAGAGTTAATCATCTAGTTCTTTTCTGCATTTCATAGGTTCTATTCTTAAATAGGTCCAAAAAACGAGGATGATTCTTCTTAAAATGGTAAACTCCACTGCCCTGAGACCCTACCCCTTGGAAGGGGCAAGAGATAAAAATTTCCTCTTTCCCACGGAGACTCAAACCCCCAAACATGTGGTAGTGCTTACAAGCATCGGCAAAATAGATTTACAAGCATCAACATGACAATAGGGTTTATCTTTAGCAGCAGATGCATCCAAAAATTCAAACGAAACACTGAATCACTCATCCATATTGCTATGAATAATTAGAAAGGAAAGTTTACCTATTCCATTTAATGCTCAAGATCAACCCGTCAGTGCTAATCAAATAACTTGTAAATTATGTATCGTTTCATCTTACCTTCATCAGACTGGTGGTCGGTGAAACAAACAAGAGCTTTTCCGTTCTTTAAAGTCAACACTTTGGCTGAGTACCAGGCTCTTTTACCATCATCACTATCTTTAAAAACCTATCAGTAAAGATATTATTAATCAATTAAACCAGCAATGTGTTACACCATCAGTAAAATAACAATACAAATAAGCATTGAAGTGCTGAAAATGGAGCACGATGGATAACAGCCAAAAAATTGACAAAAGTAAAAAAAGCTTAAGTTTAAACGTATAGCTTCTGTACGTGCACAAAATTCTAAGAATACAATCCCATGAGACAAAAATATTGGGAATTCTCAACTATCTATCTAAAAGAAGGAACTTACAGTGAGTATCTTGCATTCAATGAGGCAGACAAAGGATGATAAAGTTACTATTAACATACCTCCACGAGGGAACCCTCTTGCATCCTGGAGCTTGCCACATCTCCACATGCTTCAACCAGATCATGGGATGACTCAGCAGCTACGCCGACAGTCTTACTCACCTCTGGCATACTATGACCCTTTGCTCTTCTTACATCTTTTTCAACACCTGTAACGGGAGTTTGAATAACTTCATCATTCCTCATGTTGTCCTCTATGATATTACCAGATACACTAGTAGTCTGGCAAGCAGGAACCATGTGATGCATCTCTTCAACAGATGGACCCTCAGATTGCTTGGAAAAGATGCCAGGAGTCTTTTCGTCATTGGGAATACCTGATTCATCCCCATTTACCTTGTTAGGCTTGACACCCTGCCCAGAGAGTGTTTGGGAAACTTTCCAGTAGCTATCTGGACCACCTTCCACTAATTGAGTCAGAGGCAAAGGATCAACTAACGCAACAACTTTCCCAGCATGTGACACAGCTTCAGCTGCCAGTTCCGCAGCCTTGACTATAGCATCCAAATTCTCAGCATGTCTTGATGCAGCTGAAGCTGCTTCGATCCTTCTCCTCGATGCCTCCCTAGCCGCATATATAATTGAACTAGAACCATTGTCAACATCCTGACTTTTCAGTACAGAAGAAGGGGTGGCACTCCCCAAGTTGTTCACAATATTAGGGAAGGAGGCGGAATGGGTTTGAGAAGGATTACTCGCACCAAATGATTTCATTGCCTCATCCGCCATCAGTTTAGCTTGCAATGCAGCATTTAATGCAAGCTTAGCAGCCGCAGCTGCGGCCTTTGCAACAGAAGTAGCAGCTGCTACAGCAATGGCAGCAGATGTCAGCTTAACCTCAACAGCTGATGTCAAGTCAGAGTGTTTGTGCTTGTCTAACTGGCTCCACACATCTTGGCAGTGACTGACTGCAGCAGTAGCATTTGCAGCAGCCTCCTCTGCCTGCAGCTTAGCCTCCTCAACTTTGCTCAAGTATTCCAAAGTTGGAGTCTTTTTTCCTAAATCAAGCTCTCTCTTAGAGAGCTCAGTGGAAGATGGGGCGGAGGTGATTGGTATATCAGAATTGTTTTTAGGTGCAGAGCTAGAAGGTGGTTCGATGACAACTGATGTAGAAAAATGGCCCCCAATTATGGGAACAGATGTAGGTCCTGTCTGGCTATGAGCAACCAATGGTGCAACAGCAACTGATGATAACTGGCCAAAGTCATCAGATGCAGGAGCCTTATTTGATAACTGAGTACAAATGACAGGGGCAGTAACTGATTCAAAAGAGGTGCCAAGCTTAGATTTTTGGGTACGATCCTCAGTACCAGATGCCTTTTTTCTCTTTCTGGATTTCTGATCAGCTGAACACTGAGCAGGCAACACTGGGGCCTTCTTGTTGTCATGCGGAGAAGCTCCAGACTGGATACCACTATCCCCAGCATGAGCCACCGAACCAGGTGGTGCATGCTTTGCACCAGCAGAAATGGATAAGGATGACTCCTTTACCGGGGTTAATTTCACAGACTCTGTAACAGGCAATGCAGGAGGCCGTGCACTAATATCAAATGGAGAATTTTGTGGAGAAGCAACCCAGGGACCAGGAAAAGGGGCATGTGGTAGCCAAGAGGCAGTGTGCCCCACAAAATTTCGTGCTGGGGGAGTCTGATAGGGATGCATAGAAGGAAGTGCCTTATAATCAATCTGGGCTCCTCTAGCGGACGATAGCCCATCACGGGATGGGGTAGCCATATTCCAAAGAGGGGACGAAAGTGGTATCATAGGACTAACAGCAGGTGAATTGGAAGCCTTGCCGCCTGCTCGCCCGGCTGCCGAAGTAGTAACCTTATTTTGATGCACGGCCTGTTTGTTTGCTTGATCTGGAGTTCTGGGACCTGCAATTCTCATTTCTTAAGTACAATCAGTAGCACCATAACATGAAAGAAAATAATCAAGAGGTTCAACTACCTGAACGTGGATGAGATGGAGTTTCATTGTTTCCAGAGCGAGATCTCTGTCCATGAATCCTTTCAACACAAGCACGCCATGCAGGGTCCCAAAGACTTCTGCATCCATCTGCAGAGTATCTCAAGTAACTAATCACATGTCCAATTTTATTTTATTTTAAAAACATGAAATATAACTACGCAAAGCTAGCAAACTAACCAGCTGTCCCAAAAGCTGAAACCATACAAGCTTCTTCCGGTGCTGTACCTTGTCTGGAGCAACCATTTGAAAAGCAACAAAATCAAACACAATAGTGGTCTTACAACATGAATGAATTAGACCAAACTGAATCACCCACCAAAAAGGTGGTCGTTTTTCTCTTACCTTGAACCAAAAGAATAAAGTCTTGAGGAATACTCAAACTTTTGAATGATAACCAAAATTGGGAGGAAGGGAAAATTATTACTTTCAAGTATTTACCATCACTATACATAACTATTTTCATTCTCTTTCTTATTATCTCCTTCAAATCTGTGAAATTGAATCACTTCCTTCTTCTTTAGAAAGGTTGAATCTCCTCTATTCATTTCTTTTATAGCTTCCTTCTAAGCAGATTTGGTATAGTCGTGTAGAAAGAGGTAGGTAGTATGAAAGTTATTATGCTAATTCTCATTCTCCTTGCCAGCCCACCCCCACTCCCACTTCCCACCTCAAAAAAAGAACATTTCTACCCATCTATAATACGAAGCCATAGTTAAAGCCAACATGTTCTACCAATTTTCCATTGAGGCAAATTTGGCGCTTACACTACTTGGTCTTATTTTCTCCTCTATAGCTACCAGCACATATGCATAAAAAATTCAGAAAATGGAAAATCAGACTCACATCAGAGACCCATAGACAAAAATTTGAGCTCGCAGTTGCACTTGTTGTAGATCTGTGAAAGGCTGATGAAACAATATGGATGCAGAAGAAGTGTTTAAATCAGGTAAACTTGAAGTTGGAAAGGAAACAACCCCGCTGGACTTTGTAATATTGCGCTCAGCAGTTCCAGTTCCAGTTCCAGTTCCAGTTTCAAATTGATTTTTTTGCACAGCCACAGAGGGACTAAACTGACCACAAGAATTGTCTCCTCTATCCAACTGCTTCGATGAGTTTATCTCCTTCAATTGGCTTCCCTTTCTAGGGTTTTCTTTACCTGATTTCCCTGAGCCACGTCTTCCCTTACGATCACCCTTAGCACCCCCAGACGGAGTCCCTTTATCAGGTACCAGGGGACTACCATGAGAAATTTTCTGCATGATCTTAGTATCAGTTTGCTTGCTGCCAGATGTCAAATGCAGTCTATCCCCAGCCTTCAACTGTAATTCAGACTGAGAAAGTTAGAACAGATTGAGGAGTTGTAAGAACCACAATACACAACTAAATTATACGACATTAGAAGAGAAAGCAGACCTCAGTTGGTTGGCAGGCTTGAGTACTGGTGATTGATTTGTCAGCTTCTCCCTTGGCACTACCAGAAGCCAATGGACTTACATCAAAAGTAAAGCTCCTATCTGTTTTAGTGGAAGCTTTTTCTCCTGAAATTATGGAGGTGGACAGCGCTATACCACCAATTTCAGTTGTATCGACAAGGGGAGCAACCTTCTCAACTACAGCTCTACTTCTACTCGGAGTCGTTTTCTTTTCACTTGGTGAAAGTGCAGTATACTTTAGGACAGAAGTGGAATCATGTTTAAGTCCACCAATAACATCTGAACTACCCTCAACTGCAAAGGAAACTAAATCATTTCAAAATTCTTTCGTTCATTAGAAGGCCTTTTATTTTTGAATGCTACCAAAATTGCAACTGACATTAAGACTTTTTCATGCAATTCGCTACTATGTATCATTATATTGGACTCAACCCAGACATTGCTCTTTTTGCTCATTTCTATCTAAACTATCAAACCCTTATCTACTCTCAGCCCCTTCTTGACCAAGAGACATTCTACAATTTCAAAAACATAACATAGGCTCAAAGTCCTTTTCTTCTTATTTCCTTCTTTTACAAATCTTTTCGGCATCATAATTGTGTGTCATGTGACAAGATGAACAGCCTTGCACTAGTTCAACATTGCTCAAGTATACTCATGCGCTTTCATATGTTTATTACACACCACATATATGATGGCAGAGATATTTCCTATAGAATATGAGACCGAACCAGAATAAATGGGGATCTCTCAGGCCACAAAGCAGCCAATGAAAGCAAACACACACTACTGCTTATGTCATGCTTTTCAGCTCACAAAGATAATGGTTCAGTACTTGACCAAGAAGTCCATAATGTTCACCAACTACAAGTTCGCTCCAAATGAAATGAGAGGAGAAATTAGCTCGAAAATAATTCTTTAGAAAACTAGCTTGTAACTATGCTTCAGTCCAAACAAGCTGTGGTACATGTAACAGGGCGAATTTAAAAAGAAAATTTACATACTGAAGTACCGCTAATGAAATGAGAGAAAAATTAGCTTGTAAATAATTCCTTAGCAAACTAGTTTGTTACTACAGTTCAGTCCAAGAAAAAAGTTGTGGTACATACAACGGGGCGAATTTAAAAGCAGAACTTACAAATTGAAGAATCACGGTCCAGAGGAAGTTGAGGGAAGATGGAGACAAGTATACAGTATATAACTAAGGTGGTGTTTGGATGGGCTTTTTTTAAGTGGCGTATAAGCTAAAAGTCAAAAGTTGGGAACACCCAACTTTTGGCATTTTTAAAAACTTTTTCAGCCTAAAAAAATGCTTAGAAGCACTTTTTGTGTTACCCAAACACTTCCAAGACTAAAAAAGAGCTTAGAAGCCAAAAATCACTTAATTAAGCCAATCCAAACACCAACTAAATAAGCCCACTTTCAAGAATAAATGATCATCAGTGAGCAACCAACACATCAACGGTATAATTACGAGTGCAAGAAATAGATGACAAACCTCCAACTTCTCCCAACTTCACTGTTTCTACTTTCATCTCCTGATTCTTTGCAATAGGCGCTGCCTCAGCTCTAGCACCAGGACCCTCAATATTTGCTTCAGCACTTGCTGCTTGCTCAATGTGGCTTGCTGAATCGGAATTATCCTGAATAAGAACATCCTGATCAACAAGCATAGGTTTTATTTCCATATGGCAGTCACCAGATGCATCTTTTCCATCGTTGGAAAGGGGACCTAGCTGGCCTGCCCCCTCAGAAGACTCCTTCAGTGTTGACACTTCTGCTTCCCCGCTGAGAACAGCTTCCATTTCTTTCTTTCCTGCAAAATGACCTGACCCTCCCATTACTGACACTGGCTTCAGCTTTTCATCATGATCAACTATTTCAGTTGCAATCGCACCACTACCAGAAAGCGGCGGACCACTCACTGGGTCACCACCTAAGATTAAGTTCCTACCGTCAAAACCAACATCTGATGCTGCAAAGCCACACCAAGTAACAGTAAGTAACAAAAGGTGTTAAAAGACCAATTTCTGGAACACGGCCCGCCTACAATAATTAAACACTAATATGAGAAATAGAATATAATACCTTGATTATTCAATGTGGAAGATTCAAATTGCGATCCATGACCTTGGTCAGAGATTTGTTCAGATTCTCCTGCCACAGAGGATCTAACCTCATGGTCACGCACACAAGATCTCACCATCTCAGTTTCTACAGGCAGCACTTCCTCCTTATCCTTACCACCAGAGACATCCACATTAGTAGTATCAACATCAACCACATGGGAGAAGGTTTCCCTACATATGTCCATGGATCCAGTAGGCACAGACAAGGAGATGTGGTCTCCAGCACATGCATATCCTTCGGAGACCCTATCAGCATCATTTCCAGTTTCTAAATTCTCAGATACTGGCCTCTCCACGAGTTCAGCAGAAACAGATGTCTCTTGTATATTATTCGGACCTTCTAGAGCATAGATACCATTACCATTATTCTGTTTTGACGGCTCGGAGATCTCTGATACTGTACATGCCTCTGAAGTGCCAAGATTAAGTGGGGAATGACCGTCCAGATTATTCTCCTCTTTCTCAGTAGAAGTAGTCAGTCCATCTGACATCTGCATTGCAGAGACCTTCTCTGTCTGACCCTTGGAGCTGCCTTCTTGATCCTTAGTGTCTCTTGTATCTAAGCAATTCTGACTTACAGACGCCTCCTCATTCTCACATGGTATGTTATTACCTTCAGCCAGTAGTTTATCTTTCAAGCCTTTTGAGAAAACCGCTTCAGCATGTTCAACATAAGAAGCATCTTCGTTGCATCCCTCAGTAGTAAGACTGCATTCGTTCCTCTGCACATGAGGTTCCTCTGATTTAATCATTCTGGTTGCACATCCACGCATCTTTCCATCACCCAAACTCAACTCTTTGCTGACAGATATGTGTTTCTCTACTGGTTTGTGATGTTCACTTGGTAGACCACTTGTATTCCCACTATCACAGTCGGTTGAATTATGCTGACTAGCCAAAATCTCGATACTCGCAGAAAGAGAATCTGTAAGGCACTCCTTAATTGCACTTTCAGTTACAGGAATGGATGGTTGCCTATTAGAATTATCGGGTAGAGATTCACTTAGTGATGTCTTAACTTCCCCTAAATTTTCATCAATGCTTTTTATTTCAGTCTGTAACTTTTCCTCAGTATTAAAACCAGAATATCTCTCACCAGCAATGTCAGAACATCCATCAGCAATAGGTTCCACCTCCTGCCTTTCTGGAGCACATACAATATGAATGCCTTCTATCTTTGTTCTCTCACACCTAGAAAACGAACCACTAAACTCAACTGACTCATCCGCTGGTGCTGCTGAGCTGGAGTCTTTAACATCATCTCTTTTATCATGCAACTTCAAACTAGATTCTGCTGGCTGGATTAAGCAACCCAATTCATTTCCAGCATCTGACTCCTCAATAATAGTGTCCCCTGGAACCATTTCTTCCTGACCAACCGATTTCAATAACATTTCAACAGATTCTGTTGATGTTGCCTCAGACCAGACATTATTACGTCTTGGTATGGAGCAAGAATCGGTAGCACTTGAACTGAACTCTATTCCACTACTTCCCCGAGAAAAATCCTCAATCCAATGATTGTCTTCCTGAGTGGGGATACCAAGGAAAACCTCGTTTTCAACTAAGCTGTCAAATCTTAAATGCCCCTGAAGACTATCGTCAAAATCGAACTTGGGAAGAGCATAGGGATGCAAAACAGAGGAAACTTTGGAGCTATCTTCACCAGCTAAATGACTTTGATAATCATTGTCATTGTAATCCATCTGTATATCCCTGGACAGCAAAAACAATTAGTTAGGACTAATAAAAGAATTCGTATATGTCAAAAGATTTTCCTCCTAAAGCCATCCAAATCTTCCAAGAAAATAAACTGGAAAGCCAAATGTTTGAGGTTGTACTTGTTTTTATAGATATGGTGGTTGTACTTATAAATTGGCATCAGAGTAGCCAAAAGTGAAAAGCACAAAAATGCAACAACTTCCTCTTGGAACTTCCAGTGTAATTACAGCTTGGATTCTTTGGATAAAATAATGAAAAACCATAATTGATAAATAATCATAAAATATATAAGCAAATACAAGTGCATAACCTGCACTTCGCCAAGTTTCAGGGGTTAAGCACGCTTTAAGCGAGCCTTTAGCAACATTGATTGGCATATAAGCTGACCTTATGGCCCAACTCTAAAACTATAGCCTATGACTCGATTACCCTCTTTTTTATTCAGCTAATATAATTTTGCACTATTTTGTGTCATAAAGTCAATATATTATTACACTAACGGCACCAAGATTAATCAGGAAGAGAGAGAGGGAAAGATTGATATAGAGCCGCCCAAACCTAAGGAAGTCGATAAACTAGCAAGGAAGTCATCAAGGTTAGAACTACAGAAAATCGCTCTAAAGAGAAAGGGTGTTATCTAAAAAAATTAAACACAAGTTCACGAATACACAAGTCTATTTCAGTCCTCCTACCTCAATTTTACAAGGAGAGACTACTTCAAAACAAAACCTCTAGAAATAGACAAAAATCCAGGATAAAATGCTACATAAAAAGAAAAAGGCCCATTTTTCCAATAATCTTTCTAGTTTGACTAGAAATTTGTAGGCGGTTGTGAAAAGCATCTGGTTTTAAGAACCTATGGCTAAAGACCCCTTTGTCTTAAACATATACATGAGTATTGGAATAGGTTCAAATAGAGCTAACTGGATATCAAGAATTCTACTAGCCAAGGTAACTGGAATAGGTTCAAATAGAGCTAACTTGATATCAAGAATTCTACTAACCAAGGTAACTAATGTGGGATTGAGATGTAGCTAACGCTGCACTACATGCTACCTAGGTACAGACCAAAAGAAAGGAACTTTTTTTTTATAATTGTGATGTCTGGATCAGCATTGGCACACCTCGACTAACGCCACCATCCACCAACAACAGGTACCAAGTAACTCTCTCCACCAACGTTAGGACAAATAAGAAGAAACACCTAGTGTTTCATGTTTCCGTCTCTGATGGGATTTGAACCTGAGCTCGACGTTTAACTCTTACAAACTACCCTTCTTCTTTATCTATGTAAAACCAAAAAAGGACAATCTTTTATACAACCCAAATTAGCAAATCACCACAAAAATCACCAAAAAAAACTCTCAATCTAACAAGGCACACACCTGCATTTACTGTCGATGAAAACAACAGGTCAAAGAATAAAAATTAACACGGCTGAGGAAATGAACAGTACCAGAATAAGTAAGTGTAGAGACGCTACCTCCCTCCATCCGGTGACGAGATCTCGACCGTCGATCAACTCAACCCCAACGATACGGCTACTCGATGCTTCATAACATCTAGGGTTTCACTCAACAACTCCCAAATCCACAAACCCTAACCCTAAATCCTCGATAATCCAACCACACAACAACACCTAAACGACGTCGCCGGAAGAAGAAATCTCTCCGCCTGAAACCTCCACAACCCTTTAACGAACAAAGAAAGATATTAAAGTGAAGGAAGTGAAAAATTACTGAAATCAAGTGTACAATAAAGCTTATTTATATGTACAAAATAATAAAGTGTGTCTATCTCTACGTGCGACTATATGGTGTGCTAGTGTGTGAAAATGTGTTATTTTTTTCATAAATTAAGATTTTTTCGACCGCTTACCCAAAATATATATATAAAATAAATGAAGATATTTTATAAAAACTTAAAGAGGTCTTGAGTTAGAGTCCACTTGTATATGGAATCACTTTTGCTGAGAACGTTTTATTCCTCGTGAGACTTTTCGATGGAAATAAAAAAAATAAAAATAAAATCTTGTATATTTCAAAGAGAAGATAAAATTATGAAGAAGTGAGGGGTTTTGTTTAAATAACTAGAGATTAACTAGGGTCAAATATCAAAGGTGATGTTAATTTTGTGAAGTTTTGGGGTGATTTATGTGAATAATAAGGAATAGTAGGGCTGAATCTAAGAAGAAGAAAAAGAAGGGAATATAGTGAGGTGGCAGTATCTTATTGGTTTTGGTTATATTTGGAGGCAGTGTGACGTGTTCTTCTTTGGTTTAAGCACCCGGCGGTTGTTTAAAGTCACAAGCAGGTGAATTAACCAATATATTTTTTTAGCCAGTGGATCGATTTTGTCATAAAAAATTGTTTTCAAGTCTCATTTTTGGGGAAAATTTTCAATTTTTATTTTTACTCATAATTTTTTTTTATAAAAATCAAAAGTAAAATACATGTTCAAATACGATTTCAAGTTTCAAAAATCACAATTTCGAAAACTCAAATTTTCAAGTTTAAAATCAAAAGTAAAATACATGTTCAAATACGATTTCAAATTTCAAAAATCACAATTTCGAAAACTCAAATTTTCAAGTTTCAATCTCAAATTTACAATCAAACGAGAACTTAATCATTATTTTCTTGTTATTACTCTCTTACCCAAATCAGGGCGTGTTTGGATCGACTTATTATTTAAATCAAAATGGCTTTTAAGTAATTTTACCGTGTTTGAATAAAATAAGAAATTTAAACACTTATTTTAAATTTTAAAAAATAAGTCAAAGATTATAAATTAGAATTTGTAATTTATTACTGTAATCTCATCCAAGTAGGCTCTTATGTAACATATTTTTAGTATGTCTTAAAAAATGTCATTCTTTTATAATTCAGAATTCTTGCATTTAATTGGTATTCGGATCAACAAAGATTTTTATTGTACATTACTAAGGCTAAAATTCATTTGTTAGTTCAATCGGTTATTAAGAATGAGATCATTCACAACGTAATTAATCTAAAAGTTTGTTATATTAGTCCTTGATATGTGAGTGTAAAGGAAATAACAAGATAAATAATCAAATTTAAGTAATTGAGAAAATGAGAGAGGAAGAAAATATTTAATATATTTTCGGTCGGTGAACGGCAAATATAATCGATAAAATAATAACTTAAACAATTCAATAGAGAATAAATCGATAATAATAACTTAAACAATTCAATAGAGAATAAATCGATAATAATAATAATAACGTGAACAGTTTCAATAGAGAACAAATCGATAATAACGAAAACTTGAACATTTACAGTAAAGAACAAATCAACAATAACAATAACTTGAACAGTTTCAGTAGAGAACAAATCGATAATAACAAAATCTTGAACAATTTCGGTAGAGAACAAATCGGTAATAACAAAATCTTGAACAGTTTCAGCAGAGAACAAATATAACAATGTGTGTATTCATGTGTTCAGATGATGACAATAGTGAGAAAGTGATGAAATTTATACCACTAGAGAACAAATCGGTAACAACAATAACTTGAATAGCTTTAGTAGAGAACAAATTGATGATAATAATAATAATAATTTGAACAGTTTTAGTAGAGAATAAATCGATAAATAACAATAATTTGAACATATTAAAAAAAAAAATAGACAATAACAATTACTTGAACAATTTCTATAGAGAAGAAATCAATAATAACAATAATTTGCACAATTTCAATAGATAATAAATCGATATTAATAGTAATTTGAACAGTTTCAATAGAGAACAAATGTGACAGCGTGTATATTCATGTGTTTCGGATGAGAGAGTGGGAAAATCTATACAACTAGTGGTAATTGTGTGTGTGATTCTCGTTTTAGCCATTACATAATTGAGATCGTGAACATTAAATGTTACTAAATGAATTTCGAATATCTTGAAATTTGATCGTTTCTATTGGAGTACGTATATTATTAATTGTGGGTTATATGTGGTTAATCATGTGTTTTTATATAGTACTAGTTCTCGAACACGTGTGTTGCACGTGTATCTTATACTAATTAGTATTAATATTTTAAAATGATATAAATAACAGTGAAGTATGTGTGTCGATAATAACAAAATCTTAAACAAATTTAGTAGAGAACAAATATAACAATGTGTATATTCATGTGTTCAAATGATGACAATAGTGAGAAAGTGAGGAAATGTATGCAACTACAGAACAAATTAGTAATAACAATAACTTAAATACTTTCAATAGAAAACTAATTGATAATACTAATAATTTGAACAGTTTCAGTAGAGAATTAATCAATAAAAACAATAACTTGAACAATTTCAGTAAAAAAAAACAAATAGACAATAACAATAACTTGAACAATTTAAGTAGAGAACAAATCAATAATAACAATAATTTGAATAGTTTTAGTAGAAAATAAATCAACAATAACAACAATTTGAACAATTCCAGTAGAGAGCAAATGTGATAACGTATGTATTCATGTGTTTCGAATGACGACAATAGTGAGAAAATTTATATAACTAGGGGTCATTATATTTGTGATTCTCGTTTAGCCATTACATAATTGAGATCGTGAACATTAAATGTGACTAAATGAATTTTGAATATCTCAAAATTTGATCGTTTGTGTTGGAATACATGTACTATTAAAATTGTGGGTTATATAATACTATTAATCATGTGTTTATGTATAGTACTAGTTTTCGAACACGTGTGTTGCACATGTTTCTTATATTAATTAGTATTAATATTTTAAAATAATATAAATAATATTGAAGTATATATGTCAATAATAACAAAATCTTAAATAGTTTCAGGAGAGAAAAAATATAACAATGTGTGTATTCTTATGTTTAGATGATGACAATAGTGAGAAAGTGATGAAATTTATATAACGAGAGAACAAATTAGTATTAACAATAACTTGAATAGTTTTAATAAAGAACAAATTGATAATAATAATAATTTGAACAATTTTAGTAGAGAATAAATCAATAATAACAATAACTTGAACAGTTTCAATAAAAAAAATAGATAATAACAATAACATTGAACAATTTAAGTAGAGAACAAATCAATAATAACAATAACTTGTACAATTTTAGTAGAGAAAAAAATAAATATTAACAATAATTTTAATAGTTTCATAAGAGAACAAATATGATAACGTGTGTATTCATGTGTTTCGGATGACGACAATAGTGAAAAAGTGAGAAAATTTATATAACTAGTAGTCATTATTTTTGTGATTCTCGTTTTAGCCGTTACATTATTGAGATCGTGAACATTAAATGTGACCAAATGAATTTTGAATATCTCAAAATTTGGTCGTTTGTATTGGAATACATGTAATATTAATTGAGGGTTATATACTATTGATCATGTGTTTATATATAGTACTAATTCTCGAAAACGTGTGTTGCATGTGTATTTCATACTAATTAGTATTAAGATTTTAAAATGATATAAATAATATTGAAGTATGTGTGTGATGAAAATCGTAGGAGGAAAATACAGTGCAAATTGATGAATGATTGCTACAATTTTTTTCACCAATTCTTTCTTATGTGATACTTGAAATTTCGTTGAACTTCGAATTTATTCAACTGTTGCAAATCACACTTCTGAGATTTTTTAAGAAGAAGAATAGTAGAAAACTTTAAAAAATTGTAGTTTGAAAATGAGAGGAAATCCTTCTATTTGTAGCTAACAAATGGTAGTGTATATGAATAGGTGCTAATTGTGCCTTGCTATCCTAATTTACACTGCATTTACCTACCGTTTAAATGTTTCCCGTTTGATTACAAACTTATTTTTGTTGTCCTTTTGAATTTTTTGTCTAATTTTTTTTGCCCTTTTGGCTCTGGACTCTTTCACAGTTCATGAGTGATTCTTATCTCTATCCCAAAGTATTGATATATGTATGGTTGGTCTTGAATAGAAAAAAAATTTATTCTATTTATTGTTTTTTAAAGGGTGTGTTAAGTTAAACATAAAAAAGTAAGTATAAATGGAGGATATTTAATTTTACGATCTTAGCTATGCTTAAGAAATTGCTAATTTTTTTATTTTAAAAAAAACTTTTTTTTAAACTGACTAAGAAAGAAACTTAGAGAGTACGAAAGAACATGGCAGGCATATGAAGTTGAATAAATATTCCTTTTTTTTTACCTTTTCTATTTTAGGTGATGGGCCACGGTGAACTAAAAATTAATTTGCACTTTTGCTCTTTGAAAAAAAAAAGTTAATGGATAAAAATACATATATATATTTTTTTTAATTTCATATCTAAACTATTAAGTGTGTGCGAGTTTTTAATCTAAACTATCATCAACTATTTATTAAAAACACACCTTAACTATCAGTTGTTCACTTTTTCTATCTGAATGATTGACGGTTAAATGTGGTTTTGATAAATAATTGATGATAGTTCATGTATGAAACTCAAACATGTTAGTTCAGACATAAAAATTAAAATATTTTAGATATATTTCTCACTGTCGACTCGAAAGAAACAAAATGAAAGAAAGAAATTGTATCTAAGACATAAATATCACTTTCTTCATTATTTTTTTGGCAAAAAGAAGTATTAATATGCTTACCAAGATTAAAAATCTTTTTGGACCATACAATTAATGCTTAACAACTAACATAAGAGCACACAATCTCTAGACTCTAGAAATATCGATTGTTTGTTGAACTCTATAAATTGCGTAAGAATATGATATTTCAAATTTGGGGATAAAAAAAAAAAATTTAGAAAACATTTTTGGTGTAAAAAATACAAAAACATTTTAAAAAGACATTATCAATACAATTTATCTTTAATTAGATATTAATGCCATAAAATGGCAAATGGTCCCCCACCCTCCCGTGGACCATGCGGATTCCATAAGCAAATCAAATTAAAATTGAATTTATATTGATATGCGTAAAATACGACAAGAAAGAACCTAAGATAAAAAAAGATTAAGAGTCTGTTTAGTTAGCTAATTAAAACTAGTTAATAGGCATCAAATGTTGAAAAACACTTTTTAAATGTTTGAAATTGATTTTATGATTAAAAATCATTACGTTTTGGATAAAAGTACCAAAATTGATAGTAGTAAGCAATTGAAATATATTTGGTAAAAAAGAATGTTGATAAACACCTTTTATGTTAAATGTTATTAACGTCATTTTCAAGAATATATAAATTTTGAAAGTATTTTTACATGAAGAATTGCAAATTGTGGAAATAGAAGAGGGGATTGGAGATTTTGTTGGGGGCAAAAAGTATTTTAGAGATTATAAAATATATATTAAGGATAGACTAGTACAATATGCCATGATAGTGTTTATAAACTGAAAAATCATATGAGTGAGACCAATTTATGATTTTAGCTTTAAAGATCTTTTGTTGTATACCAACAGACGCGAACAAGTCAAAAAGTATTTATAAACTAGTTTGACCAATGTATAAAATTATCCAAACACTCTCTAAAGAAGCAATTTTTAAGTTCAAATTTGAACAATAAGGTTTTCAACCTCTTAAATTCATTTGTAATCTCTCATGATTTTCGTCCTACTTCACTGACCACTAGACCGTATCCTCGACGGTTTTCTCTAAGTCTCTTTTTTCTCACTCCCTCATAAACGCTTCAACGACTTCACCCTTTAAGTGACAAAGGGTGAGGCCCTACCAGTGAAAATCGATACTCCCAAACTTGCCCGCACTCATCTAAACTGGCCTCAAAAAACGATCGGAAAGTGAAGCCCTTCCTTCCAATCCAAGGCGGCGAAGCCACTCCTATATCTAACCACTGCTCACCCCGATCACATATTGACACGTTCATGATGCATCATAATCAAAAGTCCGTAAAGTAAAGAAGACTATGCATCAGTGACAGGTCAGAAACTAGACAAAACAATGCAGTAGCAGTAGCATAAGGTGTATCAGTTCACCTAATATTTACACATAACTTGTACACAAATTAAAAGTTGGATACCTAAGTAATTGAAGTCAATGTACATTCACTTAATAACAGATCAAATCAGAATCCTACAAACTGAAGGAATGAACAACCATTTCCTTGAAAATTAGTTAGGCCTTTCTAGCTCACCCTTTACTCTCTCTTGTTGGTCTACATCATTCAGGACTACTATCCCCACCATGGCTTCTCCGTAAAATCTTTCGAAATTACATATTGGAATCTTGAAGAGTAAGGTAGCCAATCGATTATCTGAGACGCCTTTTTATTGGTTCTTCTGTCAATACATTTCTGTATGGAATCACGAAGCTTCTTTTCAACGTTTTCCATGACCCAACCAAGAAGATCATCGGATGGAATACTAGCTTCCTTCGCGTATCTTTCAAGAACCTTAGGCAAAGATACTCTTTTCGACTTCTTTACTATGATATTTGCCTGTAGGAACTCTTTCTTTGCTGCTTCTAGCTCCCCCTGAATGTTCGAGGCAGTGTACACTTTCAGCTAGAAAAGAAGAAAGAAAGAAACCAAAGGAAGTGTTAGATGTTCGGCTTTCTAACTAGTGTCAGCTGGCCACTTTCGGAGATATGATCCAAGAACAGTACTCGATAATTAGGATGTTCGTATATGTTAGGCAATACAATTAGTCTGTTTCCCTTCAAATGTTTCAAGAAGTCCTCAAAATGAAATATTGTGGCTTTATTAACAATATAAGGGGAAAATGTAGCTACTTACCAAGAGACTGGAAGAAGTTCCCGTGCATCTATACAAGAAAAATGCAATGAAGAAACACAACTACTCACCATGGGATCGGAAACAGCGCCAGTGCAAAGAGCAAAGCAAACAAGGGGCTGTAAGTCTTGAAGGGCAAATTTTGAACTGATGAGTTGCCTTTCTTCTCCTGATCTTTTCCATAATGCAGTTGACAGAATGCCCTCCAACCACTGTAGTTGGAAGAAAAATATATTTTATCAACTGAAAGTTTGTCATCTACAGACATAACTTGCAAATAATAACAGTTGAACAATCAAAGTCTTGATAAGAATGAGAAATCACCAACTGTTGAAGTAATTATAGATGAATTTACTACTCTATATAGCTAGTACATTTATTTGATAGGAGTTCAGCCAGTTTCTTGACGAAGCGCATATTGGAAGATATTAATATGCCAGACTACTGTAAGATTGAGAAACAATTGTTCTTATAGCATAAGGTTGAGAAGAAAAACAATAGCAACTTATGAGATGGTCAGAGCAACAAAGTAGCTCAGACAATTATTTTGCGCAATTATTGTTATATATGATGAGCAAAAAGAGGAAGGATCCAAAGTCATTACTTATTATGTTACTCCTGCTATTTCTTAACTACAACTTTTTAATCACTCTAGATCAGAATAGTGAATACCCGTCCTATCCGAGGTGTACGCAAGCCAAAAATTGACTGTTCAATGGCATTTGCACTTATGACCTGGCCACCAACATTGTAAGCAGCCTGCACTATACAGAGAAGCAAATGGTGATTCAAATACTCAAAAATACATGCATGAACAAAAAGAACTAAATCTGGTATAAACAAAAAGAATAGAATCAAAATGATACGAAGTAACTTAGACTACCTTGTGAAACAACGCCAACCTTCTAAGAGAGTTCTGTGGTATTCCATATGCCAAATATGCCTAGATAAGATGAGAAGGAAGAGATGTAAAGGAACATAATAAACAAATCGAAAAGAAGAAATGATACAAGTAAGAGCCATCTTTACATGCATAACTAAGGAATTGTACAAGTTGATCCAAAATGCCATTTTGTTATTGGTTTCCATCTGACTGAGATTCACTCTTTCCAATTGCTCCACCAAAACTCTGTAAGTTCAAAACCAAACTACATGTTAGACCGGAAATTCCCACACAATCTGTTTTGTGCTTTATAGGTATCTTTGCTAAACAGAGACAAACTTGCATATGTAGCATGAATTGCACCAGAAAAAGAAGAAAAATGATGTCAAAAGCTTGAGACAGTTAGCAGCCTATAAATCTTCCATCTATATTATTTCTATTGAGTTTGAGTTAATGCGCCAAAGTCTTTCGAACTTAGTATCTTGCATCTATAAATATTAGAAAAGTTGTACTAGCATTGGAAAAGAACCTAACCTCTGGTCAGGATATAGCAATTCAATTTAGTACTTTTAAGTATGGCCATATCCACAACATTCATGCCTTAAAAGCTTATCCAGTAGGGTCAAGACTCTTTAATATCTAAAAGAGATGGTGGTTGACAAAATGATCCAGATTAAACACAATGCTATTGGCTGGTAAGAAAATGCAGAATTTTTCGAGCTTTTCCAAGTATTCGCTGATAACTGTGTCAGGTTAATGATATTAGCCAGCATTTAAGAATTCGTATGATCCAGTGATTAACTTTCCTGAGAGTGCTTATTCTGTTTCTACATAGATTCATCTACAAATGCAACGGCTGCTAGTGAACTGATTTGTAGTTATTTACACTTCTATTATTCGAAGAAAAGAGCGCTACATGTAAGCAATGTGTGCCAATATAAACCGAACGTCCCCTTTTCCAGGTTATAATTTTGGAGCATAACATAATTCTGACTCAGTGGTGGCTCCGGGACAAACAAAATCATTAAAGTGGGAGAAACAACCATCATGTAATTCAAGAAAGACTACATACAGAAGTGGGAGTGGACCTTAAGACTAACTAAACTTATGCAGCTTAGGCTGCTTTTTATGCTATCAAAGAAATGCACCTGTAGTTACTGATGGCATAAGAGGCACGAGAGACATTATTCTTGTCTGTCGCTATCCAAGATATTTCAATTGTTGATTTGCAAAACCAATCTCTCTCCTCTTTAATATCATGCTGAGGAATTATGACATTAGTAGATGACCTTGATGACAAAGGTGACCGCTTTTGTTCAGTACTTGTCGATTCTGTAATCCGGAGCCAACAGTATATTGCAGCCATGCACCTTACCATTTCCTCAGACAACTTACTAGGACACTGGTAGAGATGATCTTTAAGAGTTCGTGCCAGAGGAGATTTTTCCATTGATGTTACCTGCCCTTGCTCCTGCAACAATTCATAGAAAATAACATGAGTTGATACGTTACATCATTTCCAACCGTACTTTCTAGCCTTGAATAGCCTACTAATATAGTACACTCCCCCAAATCGATACTGATATCCTGGTGTCTTAGCCCGTTTAGGTACTTTAATTGATGCTAGTGATTTAGGTACTGATATCCTTCATCATTGCTATACAGAATGTTGCTATGGAAGAAAATAATTATTTTGAAACTAGCATGTTTCAAACTTCACCAAACCGTTGTAACCTCATTCCTCGCTTGTCAAACCCAAAACATTCAAAGAGCCAAAGGGAGTTGATGTCAAATGGGTGAACATATAAATGTACCACTAGCAGACAAGAAGAATAAGCTAATATGAACTAATTTTCACAAACTACTATTCTATTAATGTCAAAATGTTGCTTATTGAGCAACAACAGAAGATAAAAAGTATTGCATAGTAAGCAGCACACACAATTAAAGTTATAATGGAAGTGGTGAATACACACACAATTACAGACAGTGCCTAATACTTTGAACAAAAGAAAGACACAACTAGATGAAGTCAATGGTAAGCAAAATATCAGAAGCAAAGAAACAAAAGTCAAAAGTGGTTAATCCTTTTAAGCTTTCAGTTTCTGAGTAGAAAAAAACAAGACATCTAGGATTCATGTTTTTCACCATTTGGGCTCACTTATGTTGCTCGGACTCTTCAAAAATGTCAACGGATGCATGTCGGTTTCTCCTAAAGTAGTGTATTTTTGGAGAATCCAACACGGTTGCGGCATCGGAAGTGAAAAGAGTCCGTGCAACTTAGGTCCTCACTAAACTAGGGCTTAAGCAAGACACCAACCATGGTCTTAAGGGGTGGCCACTTTAGTGAAACTTTTCATACTTTTAGGATTCAAGAGTTCTGAAATGTAATGAGATAATAAAAGAGGCAATAAAAAGGTTTAAAAACCATTTATTTATTAAATCTTTAAGAGTATCATGTCACCATTTCGGAGTCTGTCTGAAGAAGATGCTATTATTGGAATAACACACACTCTTATTAGAAGGGATTCTTAAAGGAATAATCCAATATGCAGAGAAAGAATTAGAAAGCTTACCTTAGTATGCTCTGAACTACTTTTCTGAATGTGTACATTAGCTTTGCTATTATAAAATGAAGCATGTGTTGATTTCGACTGCAACAAGTTTCTTTTTCCCAAGTCATTTATGGCAGCAAGAGCTTGGAATGTCCGCAAAGGGAATTTTTTGGATGAGCAAAAGGCACTTGATATTATACTTGGATGTTTTCTTGACTCAGCTTTATTATGTGCTGGAGAAGTCATGACCGAACTTTGCTCAGAAGAAGGCCGGCTAATGCATTCTTCAAAAACACTCCTGTACAAAGAAAGGACCTGCTGCTCGCGGTTTGCAACTTCTTCTTCAAGTAATTCAATCTCAGCTATCAACTCTTTTGTCTGAAATGAGAAGAACCAATATTAACCTTAACTAAGTTCAGCAGAGTCAAGGTTAGGAGTTGAAAATGAGCGGAGAATGAGCAATATTCTATGTTGTCAACCTTATAGACAATTTGAGACCGAAAGAGTGTAACCTCATCAGTTTCAATTACATCAATATTCTTTTAATAGGTAACGTACTCCAATCAGTTGTGTTATCAGGCGCCATTGATTTTCTTATTTAGAAAAAAGACTCCATAAGAAATAACCATTGTAAGTTCTCAAGTTAAAGCAAGAATCAGAGGTTTTAGACAAAGTATATATACGAAACATATCCAAGAATTTTATGGGAAAACTTAAAGTCAAGGCCAACACAACAGATTTCCGGAGTAAAAACCATGAACTCGTGCTCCATTTCTTATATTTTACCAAACAACTCAAAGGTCTAAAGAGATAGTATAAACGGTTAGTTGTCAAAGGGTACCTGAGCAGCAAAATGCCTATGTCCAGGAGACAACGTGCTAGAAGCTCTTCCCATTGCCCTCTCAAGCACCATACGCATTGATTTTTCTTGTTGCAAACGCATTTGTAACTGTTCGATCTGTACATATTGGTTAAGTAAAAGAGAATTTGTCAACTGGATAAATAATGTTTTTGAGTAGTTACTTCTGACTTCCAACTAATGAGATACAAATAAGATCTCAATAAGGTGTAGTAAGAGAAACACAATGATATTGAAGTACTCGTCAATCTGTATACTATGGAATATTGGCCTCATTTCCATTAATATATGACTATATAAATTTTCCGATAAGGAAAACAAAGTTCATTTAGACTTGAATTCAAGATTGGTGTTTTATTAAGATCCTGCTTACATTGCAGACTTAGTATAGCATTCAAACATGGTTACTGGAAAACATTATAATGGAATTAATTGCATATCGTAATGTATTATAGACGTTGAGTGATTCACTTACATCTTTTTCCAAGGAGGCTCTGTGTTCTGGAACTTCCTCTTTGCTAATAGTTTTGGAGAATTCATGTAATGGACTTGCTTTACAACTCCTTGTTGAAGGTGGCAATCCCTGCATATTCATATATCAGCTCATGTCATTTACTTATCTAACCAAACTTCGTCATTTCTCAAAATATGCAAATGCTACATTCGGAACAGCCAACCTTGTGAAGATGTAAGTCCAAATTAAAAGATCATCAAATTTCGGAGTAGATTTCTCAGATGATCACTCAACTAATAGTTATATCTTCGAAAGTCACTTGCGAAATTTGGAATCAATAAGAAGGGTGACTTTCTGAGATAATAACTATTAGTTGAGTGACCATATAGGAAATCAACCTCAAATTTCAGTATACGAAGTAAGAAAAATATAAAGCTCTTACAGGTGGTTCATTCAATTCTTTCCTTATGGATTGCCTGTCTCCGCCTTTTGATGGAGCAGTGATTTTGTCGGAAGCACTGAGACAAAAGCATAACCAACTTAGAAGGCTAACCACAGAACTTAATTATAGCTCATGAACATTTAAAGTTGCAATCAAAGAATGAACTACACAAGATTCCCTAGGAATGCTTACAAGGCCAAGTCAACATATCAAATGTGTTCACGCTCAAGTTAAAGTTCTGATCACGGAGAAAATCAATAAGTTGAGGAAGGGGGGAATTCTGCTCTAATTTGGAATCCAAGAACTGAAGAAATTCAGAAGATCTTACGAATTTCAAGTATTTGAACTAAAAAAAAAAACATATTCAATCGTTGTTGAATATGTCATTGTAGATTTGGTCATTTACATGTTGTAATCACAAAGATTTAGTCTTATAAGACAAGACAATATTGTTTTTTTAAGTAGCAATGTTCCACAAAATTTCATATCTCCTTAGCTATTGCTATATCTAAACGAGTGTCAGAGACATGATTTTCATCAAAGGCGGTTCAACATCTACTATACATACATAAAAACAAAATTTCAATTTGTATATACAATGTAATTTACAGGCGAAGGGAGTTCGAGTGAACCCCTTCCACCCCTCTAGCTCTACTCTGTCAGTGATGGAACCAAGATTTTCACTAAGAGGTTCAAAATATGAAAAAGTAAACACACAAAGAAGCCAAAGGAATTCAAAATCCACTATATATACCTTAAAAAAAATAACTTCAACCATGTCTAAACAATGTAATTTTCCACAACCCAGACCCCCCTTGTCCTACCTGGCTCCGCCCCTGAGCTCTACACATTATCTAAACCATAATTAACCATCTAAGAAGCTAAGGAACATGCAAAACCAGACTAACACACATGAGAAGAAACAAAAAGGCATTCAACACACCAAAAAATAGCTACATCTCCAAAGTCGATATACATAAATTATACACTACTTAAACACAACTACACATATATACATATATTATACATCCGCCGTCTATTCTAAGTAAAAAATCCCAAAAATCAAACCTTTTACATCGCCTATGCTGAGAATAACCATATGCACATTTCCAAGAACTTCCATTTTGTTTCTTCCCAACTCTTCTCTGAATTTCATCTTTTACTAAACCATTCATTGTTTCTTTGATCACTAAGAAAAAAAAAAGAGACTATGATATCTCACATTATATTCTTGAATACACTACAAACTCATTACATGTAGAAAAAAAACATATTTAACAAAATCAAGAAAAAATAAAAATAAAAATAAAAATTCTCTTAGCATGGATTATGATAAATGAACTACAAGAAGAATAAATGAAGGAATGATAGCAGGATCAATGATTAATTTAATGAGGTTTTCATAGAAATTAATTGGACCATACTAAATTAACAATCTTGAATAAATTGAAACACACACATATATACATATAGAAAAAAAGATATATAGTAGTAGTACTTGCCAGAAAAAGATGGGACCAAAGCTAGCTGCAAAGAATTGAATTGCTGAACTTTAGTGTAGTTGAGAACATTGAATGATATTGTATTTAATTTCACCTGTCACTCTTTTGCATTTATGTTGTTGATTTTGGTCAGAACTTTTTGTTGAAAAAAAAAAGGAATTGATCAGAATTTTAACGGAAAAAACAGGGGTGGTAAAAAATATGGAAAAAGGTAAAAAAATGTTTTAAATTAAATGTATAATAAATGGCTTGGACGACTCTCGAAAGCCCTCGTGTTGCATTCCTCATTTTTTTTTTTGGTTGTAATTTAGCATAGTTTCGTCTATTTGATGATTTTTTTGATTTTGATACATAATGCTATTGTCCATAATACTGTTGAGAATGAATTAACTTATGAAACTATTTAAATGAAACTTTGAGATTTTTATTTTTATTTTAAAAAAAAAATAAAGAGTGTTTTGCTCATCATTCTGCTTGGATATTTGGTTTCTTTAAAGTTATTCACACAACCAGATCAAGATGAAAGTGGAAGAAAGATTCTTGGACAAATACTGCCTCGAAATAATTATTATGTTTTATTTCACTAGAGTTAATGACTATATGAAAAATACTAGTCTCTTCGGCATAAATTATCTATTATATTTTTTTAAATAATATATCTAAAGTTATTGATCATATTAAAATTCATATAATTTTATTTTCAAGAAATAAAACATGTTAAGTATCTTGAAAATACGAAGATAGTAGCTTTCAAAATGTTGGGCTATATATACTCCGTGACCACATGATAGCAATATATAGCATGCATGCACCGAAAAATATATGGGTCTCACTACCAAGCATATGGATGTTTTGGGACTCTCTGTTTTAAAAAAAATGATCTCATTTTTTTTTTAATCTGTTTAAAAAAGAATTATTTTTTCTTTTTTTCGGCAACACTTTAACTTTAACTTTTCACCTGACATGTTTAAGGCTACAAGATTAAAGAACATTTTAGTACGGACATTCTTTTTGAAACGGAAAGAGTACTATTGATCAATGGCGGAGTCATATATATTGAAGAATTACACTATGTAAGTAAGTAATTTTTTTTATATTTATATATATTACATATTAAATTTTCTTAATTTTTATGTAATTTTAGTTTTTTATATTTTGATATTTCTTTGTCACAATTCTAACTTTGTCACTAACTAGTTAAATGGATGGTGCAATAATGACATTATTGTACCAAGGGCTAACCCATCAGTGGCCCCTTAAATTTGGCACGAAATTTCACTTAGGCACCTCAAGTGGATGATGTTCATTTTAGACACCTCATGTAGGGTTTCGCTGTGTCATTTTGACACTTTTTTGTCAATCAACAAAAATATATGAGATGTGTGTTTACACTCGCGATGACGTGTAAAGTGGCAAATTAAATGACGACATTTGTCAAAAAATAATTTGTAGATAATGAATTTTGAATAAAAAAATAAAGTAACCAATGACTCAATGACACGTGTATTTTTGCCCAAATAATTTTTTAAAAAACAAATTAAATCAATAAAATCCCCATGACCCCCTCCCCCCCCACCCCCGCAGTTGTCTTCTCCAATAACCCCCATTTGCAGAAACCCCCGCCCCCCTCGTCTTCTCCAACCATTTTCTACAAACACCCCCCCCCCCCCCCGGCCCCAATAACCCCCATTTGCAGAAACACCCCCCCCCCCCGCCCCCCCGGCGCTTCCTCCAAATACCCTTACTCATTTGTAGAAAAACCATACCCATTTGCAGAACCCCCCCTCCCCCCCGCGTCTTCTCCATATACCCCTACTCATTTGCAGAAAAATCTGCACATACCCATTCCCCCACCCCATTGTCTTCTGCAAATACCCCCATCTCTTTTTTGCTAAAACATTTGGGCACCTACATACTCTTTCTTTTTTAATAGTGTCTTCTTCAAAAAAAAAAAAATCTTAGCAAGTTTAAAATTCATCAAAAATTAAACTTACTCCTCTTTAAGTATTAAATTCTTTCAAGAAAGAATTTCTTGAATAATTTAATATTTAATCTTGAAATGGGTCTATTCCTAAATTTCTAAAATAGTTTCCATCATTTTTCATTATTTTACTGTATCTATTTTTATTCACCATGTTGGATATTTAAGTTTGCAAAAATGGTGGCTGAAAATGGGAAAGAAGAAGAAAAAAATAATTAAAAAATCGACTAAATAGGCTTTTCACGCGCGCTCAACAAGTGTATTACACTCACTATGCCATGTAAGCAAAAAGTGTCAAAATGACACAGCGAAACCCTACATGAGGTGTCTAAAATGAACATCATCCATTTGAGGTGCCTAAGTGAAATTTCGTGCCAAATTTAAGGGGCTACCGATGGGTTAGGCCTTGTACCAACTCCATCAAACTATGCATCGAGATCCATCTTTTAAAACAACCTGTTTAAAATTTTGGAGTTTGGACCATATTTTGGTCAATTGCTTTGTTGACTTTGCTTCTTGGTTTCACATTTACTCTGAAGTTTCGACTAAAATTTTATTCCCACTTCTTAATTATTTGTTCATTTTTAAATTGACATATCTATTAAGAAAATAATTATTAACATAGTAAATTTATTATTTTACCTTATTAATTATGAAGAGGGTGAATTAAAAACTTAGGACTTTTGAGAAGTTCTATCTTTTCCAAAGTAATTAATTGAGGGTATAATATGTAAAAAAAATTGTCTTTTCTTAATTTATCAAAATGAACAAATAATTAGGGACAACTAAAAAATGAAAATGAACAAATAATTAGGAACCGAGGGAGTAGAAGAGATTTGACTTTTTCTTTCTTTCCCTTTTAGTTTGGTAACCTCTATCCCTCAAGACCTTTTTTCCCATTGATTATAGTTTTTCACACCTTACCACCTTAATTTTTTATTTTCTATGTTCAATAATAGTTGTTTACTATACTACTTTGAGATGTTCAACAATACTTGTCCATTTTATGAAATTAATGAATAATTTTATACTTAGTTCCTAAATTATTCTCATCATTAATTATAATTGTTTCCTTATTCAAAGAGTGATATAGTAAAATTATTCTTTTATTTATAGTTTCTTAATTCATGTGCAAAGTCAATAGTAAATAACTATAGTTGGACAGATGCAGTATAAGTTACTTCTTCCGTTTACTTTCACTTATTTGTTAAGTTAAAAATAAATAGTAATTATTTAATTTAAAAATATATAAAAATAATAATAATTATCATCATATATCCATTTTATTGTTATTATTAAGTATTATGATTTATTTTCTAATATATTTAGATGATTTAAAATAGTCAAGATATTGAGATCAAATCAATAGAATATCATGTGCAGATTCATATTTGTAAATCTCGAGGATAATAGATTTAGATAACAACAAACATTATATAAAAAATACATATTATTTTAATAGGATATGGTCAATTGACTTAGAAAACTAATATAAAATAAAAAGTACAAAATATGAGAAAATAATCTCTCTCAAGCAAAATTCTCTTGACAATTACATTATGGATATTAATGTCAAATTATGAGGGAAAATTATATATAATAGTAAATTATTAATTTAAATTAAATGCTATAAATATAGTTTGATTTAATTGTACCCTATAACAAACTGTTGTTATTTCGCCTCTCTCCTGGTGGCTTTCGCTCGCCACTCTCGCTTTTTATACATATGCAAATGTATAAAATGCGTTTGTGTTTGTATAAAACGAGAAAAATTGTATATATACATATATTTTTGTTTCCCTCTCCCAGATTTCGCTCGTCACTCTCCCAGATCTCGCTCGCTAGACTCTCCCTCTCCTCTCTCGCTTATACAAATAGAAATGTATAAATTGCATTTCTGTTTGTATAAAGCGAGAGAAAATTATATATATACATGTAAATACATATATCTTCGTCCTATACACTTATAATTATACAATACAAATATTCTCCTGCCCAGTTCTCTTTTGTCTTTCTCTCTTTCTCGCTTTATACAAACACATATTATACAATTGACCTTTTGTGTATGTATATCGAAACAGAAATAGATTATACACAACTGCTTAATTTTGTATATGTATAGCGAAATATACATATTTACGTTTGCTATGAAGCGCAATTATGAAAAATATAGCTATAACATATAAATATAATTTTTGTGTTTGCTATATGTGAAAGTTGCTCAATTAAATATAAACAAATAAATATGAATCCATGTTGTACAAATTACAGTGTCCGTTTCTCGCTAAAAATTCATTTTAATACAGGATCATTTAATATACGGAATAAGATAAAGCAAAAATATTTTTTTTAATAATTAATTTATCTCACATTTTTATAAAATAAATAATTTTATTATTATAATATAAATTATGAAACTAATTAATGTCGTACCCTCAAACCAACCATGTCATAAAATTAAACTTAATATTTTTATCATCAAATTATTATTTTTATCCATCCTACCAAAAACTCGGTCAAAATCCGGTAGAACATGGAATTTCCAAGATGTTTCTTCAATTCTTCTAGAAAAACTAGAAAGAAAATTCAACTACGTTTTCTAGAGAGAGAGCCCAAAATTTTCTAGTGTAATCTTACTGACAACGCGAAAATAAAAAATGAAAACGCGTACACGTTCTACATAATCATCGTCTATAAATTATTATAATTCCATAACTATATGTCCATCTAAGACAAAACCCACTTAAAATTCAATTACTCAAGCAATTTACAATCAATTTCTTCAATCATGACAGGCACAGGAGAGGAAAATCAACCCAAATTTCAACAATCAGAGCCTCAGATACCTTCTGTTTCTTCATCTTCTTCAGATCCTCAAGCACCAGAAATGGATCAGCAAAAATGGGGAACTCATATTATGGGTCCGCCTGCAATTCCAACTTGTCATCCAGATAATCAGAAAGCCGCCTTATGGAGT